ACACATACTGCAACTTGTAATTCACTAATAAATGATTTTTTATGTATGAGTAGTTTATAAATTATCTTGTAAAGATTGTTCAAAAGTATATATAGGACAAACAGGTAGAAATTTTGGTACTAGAATTAAAGAACATTACAATAGTTTCAATAAAAAGAAAACATTCAAATTATGCAAATCACCTGATAGAATTAGGTAAATCATAATTTTAATAATGAATTTCAAATATTACATAATGAAAACAAAGGGATAAAATAAAATCTTCTAGAATCTTTAGAAATAAACAAACTTAAAACTTTAGACTGTTTATTGAACGACCAATTGGATTTAAACAATACCTATTTAAATTAACATAAAATTTTAATTCACTTTTAACTGGATTATTACTTCAGTGGACTGTATATTTTAATAATACCTAAATAAAAATACTGATTGATTAAACATCACTTTATTAACATCTTTTTCTACTGAGATGCGTACATTTTGACGTTAGCTGATCAAGTGGCCAAGAAAGACACCCGATTTCTTAATGTCGCTTCAATTCTCTATACCCCTCTAGGGAGAAAACTTTTCATTGGACAAGGAGAAGGCTTTTCATTGGACGTTGCGCAGCGCCACGCACGGAACATGTTGCAACAACTAATAAAACGAAGAGTTTCATTGGCTGTCGCGGTACATACTTCCGTTTACTACGCCGTGTGCGCGGTAAATTTAAATTTAATTATTAGTTATTGCAACAACAGAGGTCAAGGTTCAGGTATGCACATGTTATCTTCATCCGTTTCTGACGTCACACTTGACAAGCCATCAGCGTCTCGTAATTCGCATAAATTAATAATAAATGTATTTTTTTAATTGTATTGTTTATTTGCAAGAGAGTCTCAAAACAAGTCACTATTTTCGAAAATCACAATAAAAAAGAGCCAAGCACATAAAGTATTCATAAACGTCATGATTCCGTTTGTGACGTCACGCTGCCTAACATCAAAAATGGCAGATTGTGTATACCGTATACCTAGTAGAGTGTAGGAACCTTGAAAGTGGTCTTGCCGCCATATTTTTGCTCATTTTCAATAGGAATCAGGAAGTGAGCCACACAGTGAACCAATTAAAAATATAATGGCAATAAAATTGTTGTCGCTACTGTGGTGATAAAACTTTTAAACTCAACAGTCACGACAATTGATTAATGGTTCTAATCCTACATATTCATATTCAAAATTTGCAAGAATATGGCGGCGGGATCTCTATTATCGACTGTCGCCACTGGGTGAAAAGATTTATTGATTGAGTGGAGTGTCACTTTCTTTACCTTGTCCAAAATCTCAAGGAAGACAGTAAAAAACCTTATTTTTGTGAATTTTTTGATATTGCCTTACTTCATTTCCTTCATTAACAATCATAATTTAATTTTTATAGCTCATAAAGTGACAAATCGCAAAGGGGACCTTGGAAGTTCATAATCAGTTCTGTTTTTGAATTAGTTCACACCAGCTGCACATACCAGTAAGTAGATATTAGCAATCTAGCAATCCAGTAAATCAAATCAAACGTTTCAGAAAATAGTTAAGGTCAGTAAATTTTTCATTTATTTATAACAAATCTAAATCTTTTTTTGGTAATTATGCACTATCATAGCCCCTTCAACTCATAAAATTATTAAGTTTTTATTTGGTTATGTTCAAGGTTATGTTAGACTATAAAATGGAGTATAAAATAAGAGTTTTTGGTAAAAATTATTCTTCGCTTTAATGTTTCAATTAACTAAAAAAATCTCGAAAACAATATAATACCTATACCTATCTAATTTTTTTTGAAGGTGTTTTTCTAAATAATTATACCGGTGCCGTCTCTGTCTTACTCGCATTGGCTTATGACAATACTACTAAATGACGTCACATAGTATTAGTCTTTTCACTCCTGTAACTTCGTTAATTTTGAAGATATTCAAATTCAATAGTGTCATACCAGGTGAAGGGGCTATAGTAAATATTTAACCCTTTTTTTTTATAACAGCTACAGAGAAAAATACATGAAAAGGTTAGGTAACCATTTGTTTGATTTAAACTTTACTGGTTTTATTTATTTTACGAAATAATAATCAGTCTCCACTGTTACAAATTTGTAAAAATAAGATGTAGCTTCACCTCTCCAGCAAATGACTTAGGCCTAGTTATATTTAAAATATTCTCGAGAATATCTGTAAGGGTCGGTTTCTCAATAGCGAGTTACGTCCGAGTTGGTTTCAACTCCAGGGTAAACGTGTCCAGTTGCAATGTTCACCCTGCTTAACCCGGGGGTGACTAGCTATTGAGAAACCGTTAGTTTATGGAAAGATCCTAAAGCGCGACTGAAAATAATAATAACACAACATCGAGCACAACATCAACACAACTATTAAAAGGGCCTGGATTAGTTGTTTCAATAAATAAATAAATAAATAAATAAATAAATAAATAAATAAATAATGTTATTCTTGCCTAAGTATATTGGTTCTTGATTTTAGAACCTGCATTTGAGCACAGGTTATTGTCAGGTGCTGATGTATGTCGGAGTTTTTCATTGGTTCAATTTTTGATTTAAATTTTTTGTGCAATATTTTTTGTATTATTTTACATTCTTCTTAGTAAATTATTTTGTCCACCTTTAGATATTTGAATTTTTTTTATAAGTCTCTTATAGTATATGTACTTATAATAGAGTCGTGGGATTTTATGTAGGTATTTAATAGCACGATTTTGAAATTGTTGCAGCTATCACATATATTAGGTATCAACGCATTTGTTCACTTCCACTTCCAGTGACTTTAAGCATTTTCCTTGAAAGAGAAGCACTGTACCGTCCGCAAAAGATATAGGCCGGAGTTACCCAATTCCTTAATTTATCCCCAATTCTTAATTCTTAAAAAGTTCAATTCATCTTAACATTGGTGTTTTTAAGGATTAAGAATTAAGGACAAAAATTAGGAATTAAGGAATTGGGTAACCCCAGCCATACACAAGGTTGGCCTTAGTCAAACTGTGCACATAAAAGGGGTAAAGTCCAGGCACCAAACCTTGTGGAACTCCAATCATTGATTGTTTGGAGTTACCTTGAATTCCCATTTCGTCGACCTTTCTTAAGAGAATTAGTCTGTTCACAGGATCAAAAGCTTTTTGCAGGTCAATGGAAACAGCACGAGTGAATTTGTTTCGTCCAAGGCCTTTAATATGAATTCTATTATTTCCACAGCGGTTTATGAGTGTTACTTTACTCGATTTTAGATTGTTGTGAAATCATCAAAATCAATCAACGACATACGTTTTAATTTCCAAGGCTAACATGAGGTGAAATTTTAAAGACCGCTCATGACTATCTGTATATTGATTTTCTATGGTTAAGTTGATTGACTGCCAGGTTTTTTTTTGTGTTGTCTATAGTATAATATATTTATTTCTGAGTTTATTTCTTAAGATATTACATCTGCTTTTTAATTTCTTGAATTCTTTCATAAGAGCAATGTTAACTGGTCTTTTCCTCGATCTCTTTCTTAAACAAAATTTAAAAATTCACTTGTGATTCATATTTAATTATGGTCTCTAAGTTTTTTTTTTATTCGCTGATTCTTGCTTAGCTTCCTGTACAATCTCAATTAGCTGTTCAAAATCCATAATATCATCTTCATTAAAAACTTATAATGGTATAATTTATTTCTCGTGTAATCTTTGGAAGTTTACTTCTCTCTACTTTTTTTCGTTTAATTTCAATTAGCTGTATTTTATGGTCAATTATATCTATGTCAACAACTTTCAAAAAGTGAAGAAGATACCAGATACTTTTGCCAAAAAATAAAAAAAATTGGAGATTCAGTATCTTAGATACCTACTCTAAACTAACTAATATAGGTACATACTTTTTTCTGACGGCTATGTAGGCAACTAACTAATGCACAGAAGGCCTGTTTCTGCAGAAATCACAAACCAGTCAGAGCAAATTTCATTGGTTGAAAACATTCAGAAACAGTAAAAAATTAATTTCAACCAATGAAATTTACTCTGACTGGTTTGTGATTTCTGCAGAAACAGAACTTTTATGCATTAGTTGCCTACAGAGCTGTCAGAAAAAAGTATATTAAATTGAAGAAGTAGTCCATTTCTCAAAGTGGAGGTGAAAATTTAATTCCATAAGAAAAACTCGAAGTCTTCCTCCACAAATACTTTAATAAATTAAATTAAAAAGAGCCCAACATGTTTCGAGATTATTAGAATCTCATCATCATCTGAGCTAATTTGCCCCTGATGATGAGATTCTAATAATCTCGAAACATGTTGGGCTCTTTTTAATTTAATTTATTAAAGTATTTGTGAAGAATTCGAGCTTTTGTTATGGAATTAAAAGTATATTAGTTAGTTTAGAGCAGGTATCTAAGATACTGTCTGTTCGCACAGAAATCACAAACCAGTCAGAGTGAGTTGAAACTAGGTTTCTGACTGTTTTCAACCAATGAAATTCACTCTGACTGGTTTGTGATTTCTGTGCCAACAGACCTAATGCGAGTGCCTCATTCCCAAGAGTGAAATAAAGGTGTTTAATGCATACCTACATAATTTTTTTTTACACGACCATCATATTTTATCAAAGAAATTATTCTTTTTATATATTTTGTTTTGAATTGGTTGTTTTGTCAAAATTTGTTTATATTGTCTAGATGATTTAAGGTGCTATGAATGCTATGGCTTGATTTTCTGCGAAGTGTGGAATGAAGTAAACCCAATTCGATTTAAATAGGACTTTATTTCACAGTATGAAATAATGTAGCTTCCGAGGTAGCTTGATTTTTTCTATTGCTAAGCAAAATGGAGTTTAATTAATTTTTATTGATGGAAAATATTAAAAGGTCGAAAAAAAATATATAAATTGTTTTGGTGTGGATGACATGCTTTCCTAGTTTACGGCTAGAATCGAGGTTAACTTTCACGCACATATGAATCAATACCTTCTGTATAAATATATATAAATACCTTCTGTTGCCTCAGCTGCTTTGAACGGTGGTACCGCATGAGTTTGTCTAGGTCATCATCCTCTCCTACATCCAAATTGTTGTCGATGTTGGAGCACAACCGTTTACATTGCTGGCACCATTCCATTTTTAACAGTTTCTAATTCCACTGCTCTGGATGCCAGTAAACTATGCATCATTCAAACTCGAAGCTCCCCAATTTTGGCTAGCTTTTGGATGACTAAAGTAGTGGGCCAATTTGATAACACTTTCTCATCCACCTGTTAAAATATACAGTGTGGAACATGAATGGCAGTTTTAAACGCTGAGTGACTGAATTATATTGGTTCTGGTTCATTTTGTGGGAGTGGTACATTAGCTGCATCAACTACAATAATGGACAATAGAAATAAGTATTAATTTATAAATGAGGTTTCAATTTTTACCTATAACTTGTGAAGCAGATATTATCTAGAATGGATTGTACCAGAATAAGTTTTAATAGACAATGAAACCTCATCTTCCTTGACCCCTTAGTTGTTGCCATTTCTGGAAACTACATGATCTTGCCACTGTAGCATCTGGTTGTTGATTTTTTATCCGTTTCATCAAGAAAGGCTGCAATCGGTTTCCAGAATATCCTATTAACCAACTATTCGTTCCTCCCATATTGTGGATATGTTCCATTAACCTTCCAACATTAGTTTGTGCTCCTGCATATGATGGTAACATTCATCGATCCACCATAATTTGAAATAGTTTTGAGTATTTTTAAATTTGGCTCACAAATTAGTCATTTGTTAATTTAGAGAATGATAACGGATTGATTAAATTATGTTCTTCTTCTTTGGGTTTTAATATTGCAATATATGTAGGTGCAGCCTATAGCGTCAATAGCCCCTGTCCCGGAAACGCATAGGGCTTCACATATGCCAATTTCTTAGGTTGCCTTTCATTTCTGGTTTTGAGCACTAATAAATGGGTCACGCAATCATATTTGCGACAAAATAATGAAGGCACTGAAAAATGCTTGATGAAAACTGAAATCCTGTCTGTATAATTTTCGGTAACTATAGTTCCATTGATAATTCTACTCTGCCTTTTATTATCATAGATATTTCACTGATAATAGGAGTAGTCTTTCACTCTGATCAAACTGAACAAACTTATCTGATTTACGCAAGGATTTAAGTGTAAGTGATTTTGAAGTTTAAATTTAGCGTTTTCAGGGAGCGGGAATTTTAATAAGAAAGTTCACACTTGTATTGTCAAGTCTATTGTGCACACACACTAACATTTTTTTATTTTCACATCACTTCTACTAACTCCAGTCACATCAAAAGAACAAGAATTTACCTATATGAGCTGATTTTCAATGTGACCTAAGATTAAGTATTACATATTATGAGGATTATTTTTGAGTCATAACACTAAACAAGGAATTTTGTTTTGAATAATTGTATTCTTGCATAGACAAAACATGTATTTGTATGGGAACAAAAACATGTGTTTTGTACGGGTCCAAAACTGTATAATAAAATCAAGAATAAAATAGTGCAGTGGATAATGGAAAGTGAATATTAATGAATTATCGAATTTAGTACTATGGATATTGGTTTAAGTTGTGTAAACACAACTTAAACCGAATAATATATAAGGTGTCCCACAATCAGCAGTGCACCATAACTTTCTTATTTTTAGAAATAAAAATTTGAAACAAAAAAAAAACGATGAATGGCTAGTTGAGCTCTCTTCAAAAATACAAAAAAATATTCCCCTGACAAAATCATCCCCTATTTCCAACCCTTGACGATTTTTTTAAATGGCACCCCTATTATTTTATTTTTTTATTTTTGAGAAGCTCATGAAATTGCAAAGTCAATGAGGAACACAAAGTTTGTTTTTCCATGTTTCGTTGGAGAGAATAATTCAAAAATGAATATAATGATAATTAAAAAAAAGGCAAGAGTTGTTTTTAGGAGAATTTGTTACGGAAGATTTTTTTCCATATTTGTATTTTTGTAGATAATGAAAAAGTGATAGTCTGTATAAGGCTAATTGTGGGAACCCATTTTTTTTCCCTCCAAGAAACACGGCAAAACAACTTTGTAGGTATTTATACACTAGTAAATTTGTAAGTTCATGAGCTTCTCAAAAATTAATAAATAAATAATAGGGGTGCCATTTGAAAAAAAAAACGTCAAGGGAGTATTTAGGACATGATTTTGTCAGGGAAAGATTTTTTAATATTTTCGAAGAGAGCTTATTTTGTCATTAATCCTTTTTTTTTGTTTCAAATTTTTATTCCTAAAGAAAGTTATGGACTGTAACGCTGATTGTGCGGCACCCTGTATGTTCTGTTTCTTCATCCAGAAAATGTGGAAACCATTGTTTGTTCAAATAGGCCATAAATGCCAGACCAGAATAGGATCAAAATAGTTCTAGATTTAGCTCAAGAGTGAAAAAATAGAGCAGTGAAAAGTCAATTACTAGATGTTTTATATCAAGAGCCCAGCGGGGCTAAAAGGATTGGATATGGCCGGTTACGGATAATTTCTGGTTTTCCAATTTTGACAACCAACAATTTGAGGTTAGAGTAACTGAGATCCTGTTTAGGGTGGATATTATAAAACTGCTTTGACAGTTAACTTGAAGTTAACTTTTTGAATTACATGTAATTCCAGAAGTTAACTTTAAGTTAACTCTCAAAGTAGTTTTATAATACCCGCCCTTAGTTGAACCAAAAACGAAAATATACTCCTGGACAAAATTATCGCACCACTGCTTATGGTGATGCTTATGTGCAGTGGTGCGATAATTTTGTCCAGGAGTATATTTTAGTCCGACTACAATTAAATAACTCACTACCCACTTTTTTTCTGATTTTAGTTCAACTAAACTAAGATCCCAACAAAACAGAGCAACAACCATCATGCAGTGTTGATACTTGCGGGATAATAATTATCCGATTGTGGCGATCGGCGATTGTGAAATAGTTTTTTCGGACTGTGAAATAGCGTAAATAGGTAGTTCGGATAGGATAATTTTTAGATAATTTCATATTTCTTCGCAGAATTTGTTTATTGTGCAGTTTCTATTACCGAACAGCTTTGTTTGTGTCGCACTAACTAAACAAAAAAACCCAAAAAATTCGATTTGTCACTTCTGTCAAATATTTGAAACGCTGTCACAAGTGTCAAATTCAATTTTTTGCACTCAGTCCAAGCACTCTGTCAAATTAGTGCAAAGAAACATTTTCTTTTCTGTCATGATAACTGGAAAATAAACAGAATATGCATACAAATATTAAATTATATGAACTATTTCAAAGTCTGAAAAAAGTTCAGCCCATAGCCGCTTTCCAGCTGAAAACGTTCATAGGTTTGGCACCACGCGCTTCGAACCTCATAAGTTGAGGCGCCGATGTCAGTTGGAACACGCTTCTGAAATCTTAAATATTTCCCGCATTAAAATAACTGTCTATTATGCCAAATTGTTTGTTGGGCACGAAGCCACTTATTGGAGAGGTTGTGCTTCAGTGAGCAGGGGAGAGGTAGGTTGTGTTCCAAGCCCATTCGCAGATGGAACATAATTTTCACGCGTTTGTGAACCCAAATACTCGATTGCGTGCACAAACGCCCCTGCCCTCCTGATGCACAACCTCTCAAATAACAAAAGCCGCTTTCCAGCTGTGTGCTTCCAGCACGGTGCAGCACAGTGTTCTGTGTTTGAAACGCAAAAGTTAGCAGCTCACGAAGCGCAGTACGGCTGGAACACAAACACGCGCTTGAAGCATTTGCGCGCGCAAAAGCTCGATTGCGTGCTCAAAAGCGTCTGCTGGAAAGCGGCTATTGTGGCTTCATTCGAGCCCTTGCGGGAAACATTTAAGTTCTTTTCACGTGGCTCCGGTTTAACTAACCGGGTTACAAAACGGTTAGAGAAATGACATACCGTTTTCTAACCCGGTTACAAAGTGACGTGATGGATACCTACCACTCGAATTTGAGCGGTATGTTGCGGTTTGTTAAACCGGAGCCACGTGAAAAGGGTTTTAGGATTTCAGAAGCGTGTTCCAACTGACACTTGCGCTCCAATCTATTTGGTTCGAAGCGCGCGGCGCCAAGCCTACGCACGTTTCCATCTGGAAAGCAACTCTGGAAAGCGGCTCATAATCTCAAATCGGTCATTTATTAGGTCTGTTTCTGCAGAAATCACAAACCAGTCAGAGCGAATTTCATTGGTTGAAAACAGTCAGAAACTCAGAAACAGTCAGAAAACTAGCTTCAACAACCAATGAAATTCACTCTGACTGGTTTGTGATGTCTGCAGAAACCAATGAACTATACTATAACCAAAAACTGGAATGCGCACACATATTAACGAACGTGAAGCCTAGTGCCGCTGCTGCGGAGGGGATATCTGTTTTTGTCGCACTCATTATGTTAAATGGCCGAAATTGCTTCCAACACGTATTCCAATTATGAAACCTGTGAAGGTAAATATGACAAAACTTTCCAAAACGTCATATGGCAGCGAGCAACAGAAAAAAACAACATTCCCCTTTGTGGCATCTGTCTTTCATGGCTTAATTTTTTTGGCAGATATGGCAATGTGTGCGCATTCCAGTTTTTGGCTATAGTTCATTGGCAGAAACAGACCTATTATCCCGCAAGTGGCAACACTGCATCATGCAAGCTGTCATCAAGATCAAAGTCATACAGATATTTATCATCTCGCTTTAATCAGGGATGTGCGTCTACACGTAGACTTTCATTGTCTACTTTACGTGTAGACAATGTAGACTAGACAACGTGTCAACAATGTAAAATAATATAAATGACGTTTAATTCTAACCTCACACTTTCTTTTTTTTAATTTTTTCTTATTTTATTATTGGTTTTCCTGATATTTTATAATCAGTGAATGCTGATGTCGAAGTGATAGTGATAGTATAGTAACTTTTGATATTTTTTTTCGAATTTTTTAAAATAAGTTATTGTTTACGCCGCATGTAGACAATGTGTAGACAAATGCTCACGTAAACAATTCGAATTGTCTACGCGTAGACAATCAATTGTTTACGTTGACATTGTCTTCAGGCACACACTGGCTTTGATTCGCATTGTCGAACTACTTTGTTCTTTGTTCTAGTTTTGTTTACAAGCGTCTGCGGATCACACGGAGGCAACGCCACGAATATGATCGAAAGTGTACAAACGAAACTTTTAAAATTTGGCGCGACGCGACAAACGGAGGTTCACTCGCATTTTTGTTTACCGCCTCTTTATTTATTTGACACAAAATTATTAATTATAATTCGATAGTTTGTCTTATTATCATTATCAATGACATGAGAGGGAGTTTTCGAGCAATTATCACCTAAAAAAAACACATGGAGAGCACAATTCACAACAAAAATACATCTACAAAAATAATGAAGTCCATAAGATGCCCATTAAACTGTGATTTTATTACCGACAGCAAAGACATTATTGTTTTACATATTATAAAAATTTTCACGGAAACAACTTAGACCCCAAGAATTTAACATTTAATAATAAGGAAGACTTTTTTGAGTGGAAAAGAAAATTAGAGCAAAAGATACCATCAGAGCACAGTTTATAAAATGAACTGTTTAAACTGTTGAAAGGAAAAATGGTACAATAATTATTTATTTTATTTATCACCAAGATGGAAATTTACATAAACGCATTAAATTTAGCTTATGTAGGTACCTATTACGCTTACATAAACAGGCTTTATTGAGTGTTGACTTATTATTTAATAGCCTCGCTCGCAAGCTCGCTCGGTCATAAAATTATTCGTACAATAAGCCTTTCTTTATTGTAGGTACCTACTTGTTATTTAATGCTATTTATATAAATAGCTATTATTTAACAATCTAGATTAAACACTGTGTCTTTCAAAATCTTACAGAAACAGCTTAATTGTGATACAGCCTACAAATCAACTGTGGAGGGCGAAGGGCCATGTATCATTGGATTATTCCACCTGACTTATCAATTATTTTTTTGTACCTACCCGGGTTCTGGCTTGGGCTTGATACCCCATCCCAAAAAAATTAATTCTTATCAGTCTTTCTAAAATTTTTAGTTAAATATTATCGATAATAATCGATATTTTACGAAATGGAAATTGCAAAATAATCCTAGAATATAACAATAAATATTCATCAGGATTCAGGACAAGGAGGTGGAGGCGTCAATAAACAAGGAGCAAAAACGTTATGGACGCTGTATTCGTGGCGTTGCCCCCGTGTGATCCGCAGACGCTTGTGTTTTGTTTGCCGCTCAGTGTTGCCAACCGTACTATAATTATAGTATTTGTACTATAATTGAATGGTAATGCAATAGGTCTGTTTCTGCAGAAATCGAAATCACAAACCAGAGTGAATTTCAGCAAAACATCTACAAGTACTACAGCGAACGAAGCATTATTAACTTCTCAGGGTCGCTTTCTCAATAGCGAGTCGCCTCCGGGGTTAATCAGTGATGTGCAGGGATGTGCGTCTACACGTAGACTTTCATTGTCTACTTTACGTGTAGACAATTGTAGACAATGTAGACAACGTGTCAGCAATGTAAAATAATATAAATGACGTCTAATTCTAACCTCACACTTTCCTTTCCGAAAATTATTTTTATTTTATTATCGGTTTTCCTCATATTTATAATCAGTGAATGCTGATATCAAAGTGATAGGTATTAGCTACTTAGGTAGTAGTAATTTTGGATCTTTTTTTTAAATTTTCTAAAATGAGTTTATTGTTTACGCCACATGTAGACAATGTGTAGACAAATGCCCACGTAAACAATTCGAATTGTCTACGCGTAGACAATCAATTGTTTACGTGAGCATTTGTCTACACATTGTCTACATGCGGCGTAAACAATAACTTATTTTAAAAAATTCGAAAAAAAATATCAAGTGTTACTATGCTATCACTATCACTTCGATATCAGCATTCACTGATTATAAAATATCAGGAAAACCAATAATAAAATAAAAATAATTTAAAAAAAGGAAAGTGTGAGGTTAGAATTAAACGTCATTTATATTATTTTACATTGTTGACACGTTGTCTACATTGTCTACACGTAAAGTAGACAATGAAAGTCTACGTGTAGACGCACATCCCTGGGTTAATACCCTATACAGAAGAATGCCCATAACCACCTTTTTTTGGAATGGAAACAGCAGGGTACTATAATTTTGTAGCGTTCTATACTATAGGCCTGTTTCTACAGAAATCACAAACCAGTCAGAGCGAATTTCATTCGTTGAAAATAGTCAGAAAACTGGTTGTTGGCGATTTGCACCAATTAAAAACGCTCTGACTGGTTTGTGATTCCTGTGAAAATAGACCTTATAATAGGTCTTTTTCTGCATAAATCACAAACCAGTCAGAGTGAATTTCATTGGTTGAAACTAGTTTTCTGACTGTTTTGTGATTTCTACAGAAACAGACCTTAATAGTTCGCTCTGACTGGTTTGTGATTTCTGCAGAAACAGACCTTATAATTTGTACAAATAATGTACTAGGTCTGTTTCTGAAGATATCACAAACCAGTCAGAGTAAATTTCATTGGTTGAAACTAGTTTTCTGACTGTTTCTGACTGTTTTCAACCAATGAAATTCGCTCTGACTGGTTTGTGATTTCTGCTTGATCCGCAGTTGGCGACACTGTTGCCGCTTTTTTTGTAAATCGTTGGGATGTTGGTTGGCACTCTTGGCAGGGTTGGCACTGTTGGCAGTTGTTGCACAATTTTTGGTTTATTGGTTTGTTTTGAAAATCCTCAATTGTTTGTTGAACCAAAAACGAAAATCAGGAAAAAAGTGAGTTATTCGACTGTAAAAGCCAGTATTCGTTCGTTCTGAACAAACTGATTGAAGTCAATTGGACTATGGACTGTAATCTTTCGTTTTTGTCTCAGTCGCCCGCCCAAGGATCAATTTTTACTCTACCTAAAATTATTTGTTGTGTTAATTCACCAATGAATTAATTCATCATCTTGAAAAAAAAAAACAATAGGTAATTGACTTATCGCTGCTCTATTTTTTCACTCAGACCTATGATCTATTCTAATCTCGATTCTGATCCTATTCTGGTCCGGCATCGAGGGCCTATTTGAATAAACATGATGGTTTCTGGATAAAAAGAAAACAGAATATAAATTACTTGAGGTCTGTTCTCACCAAAATCACAAACCAGTCAGAGCAAATTTAATTGGTTAAAAATAGTTAGAAAACTGGTTGTTGGCGATTTGCACCAATCAAATCATTCGAATCGCTCTGACTGGTTTGAGATTTCTGTGAGAACAGACCTTTAAAACGACAATATCCATAATA